CTTTTCCCAGGCTGGGGCTGTCCCCCCGTGCCCCTTTTCCACACAGAAAGTGCCCCCGTGCCCCTTTTCCTGGGCAGAGGGTGCCCTTGTGCCCCTTTTCCCAGGCAGGGGGTGCCTCCATGCCCCTTCCCTGCATCCCTCCAGCCAGGAGCTGCCTGGCCGAGGCAAACCCGGGGGCTGCGCGGGGCCGGTTCCCAATCCTGCCTTCACCGTCTGACTTTTGCCTGTCAGCATGTGAGAGGAGTTTTATTGGCCCCTTTGATGTTGCGGAGACCAGAACTGTACAGACTTTCATTAAACCCCTGCCCCGTGGGCCCGGGGATTATGAATATTAGAACATTGCCCTTTTATGTGAACACGTATTGACCGGCGAGCTCTGAATAGTGTTTTGACTAACGACACCCCGGTGCCCGTTACAGCCCCAGCCCCGCGTTGCTTGAGGTTTACTGTCAGCAGCTCTTCGGGAAAGGTATAAAACCCCTTTCAGAACCCTTCTGCCGCTCCGTGCGGCGCGTGCGCCTGCGTTATGGGGTTGCTAAGCTGCCTGCGAAAGCTCAGGAAGGCAATTATCCATTTAAAAAAAAAAAAAAAAAAAAGAGGCTAATTAGGCAATTTCTCTCTGTATTTGAAAGCACCCTAGAGGGTCTCGGGGGGGGAGATTAAGGTTTTGTAATATTTTTCAGCTCCTCGCTTTATCGTCGCCGCTTCGTTTTCTCGCGTTGTGCAATACGGGGTAACAAAGACCTGATTCACCCTCCTTAGGCAAGAGTGCCCTTTCCCCGGTGCCGACCTTTCTCCCGCCATCCCATGTTCTCCTGGATGTTGTGGCTTGGGTTACGTGGGTCTGGGTTGTATGGATTCAGCTCTGCCTTTGGGTTCTCCACCCGGTGCGGAGCGCCGAGGGCTCCTCCGGCCCCGCGTGGCATCTGAGGGTTTGTCCCCCCTCCAAAAAAAAAAATGAGACCTGCCTGGCTGCAGGCTGCGTCCCCGCTGGCGTTCCTAGCCGGAGCGGCCCCAAAGGTGGGAGAAATGGGGATTGTGCCCAGCTAAGAGCTGCGGGAACAGCTTGGCTCTGCTGCAGCTCTCCCTGGTGCTTTGTGCGCGCGAGCTTTTAATAGTGCCTGTGACACAGAAAAGGCACCATCGGCCCCTGGTAATTTGGGTTCGTTTTTGCTGCCGGTGTGCCTGGAGACAACCGTGAACTAATTTCAGTGATGCCATTCCATAACCTTGTGAAATCTGGAACCCTTTCGTGGGGGGGGGAGGCTCCCGAAGGCGCCGCTGGGATGAGGGGGGGCTGCATTGGGTTCATCCCTGCCGTGCTTGGGGGTGCAGGGATGTGTTTGAGGGCAGCGGTTTGTCCCCATCCCTCTGCTCCGTTTTCCTTGGGCTGTTCCCCTCCTGCATCGGCAAAAGGTAACGGGGGGTGATGGGTTTAACCGGAAAGAGGGAGATGGAGATGGGACATCAAGAAGGAATTCTTCCCACAGAGAGTGTGGAGGCACTGGGACAGGTTGCCCAGAGAAGCTGTGGATGCCCCATCCCTGGGAGTGTCCAAGGCCAGGCTGGATGAGGCTTGGAGCAACCTGGGCTATGGAAGGTGTCCCTGCCCATGGCAGGGGGTGGCACTGGGGGGGCTTTGAGGTCCCTCCCAACCCATTCCATGATTCTCTGAAAAGGGAATTGCTCTATCTCAGCAGGTCGGGAGCTGGATCGGCACGAGCAGACCCTGAACTCCACGTCCCTCCTCAGCCGATGGTCCCTGCCCCACGGCGCTGGCACCAGCTGCCTGCAGAGCCCGC